GGTGGATGAAGAAAACCACAAGGTTCCAAGGGTGTGGCTGAGCCACAAGACGGAAGGAACCTGGGTCCCTAAATTGCAGCATGGAAGAAAGTCACCTGTAAACCAGGAATAGCCACAAAGAGCTATTACATAAAAAGAATAGATTTCTATTGTTTGTGTATTTATACCTTTGGGATCTGTTTGTTACAGCAGCTAGTACTATACTAGGTATTACAATTCTCTTTCTCCTTTTTCTAGAGAAACCTCTGAGTGTTCCTTAACCCTGTGAGGTGCTTTAACCACATGCTTCTTCTCCAGGTACTTTCTAAGCCCTTTCAGGAATTGTCCAAATCAGGGTTTCCCTGACCATTTATCAAGATCTCTCAGGACTATTTTGAAGCTCTGCTGGGAAATATCTAATGTTTAGGTGGTATCTTGATCTTCTGAGGTTCCAGAACCCCAGGGAAGAGAAAGATACAGTTGGTAGTGACTTTCCCCTCCCAGCAATTTGGTTCTTCCCTCCCAATCTAACATTTCCATGTCCAACACATGAAGATTTCCACCGTGAAATGGCAATTCTCCTTTCCCATGCCTCAGAGCAGCCTATGAAGGCCAATGCTGGGAACTCTTAAGTCCAAGGTTGCCCACTGACACTGTCTCAATTAGTTATCACCACAAAAATCCTACATAAACAAGCCACCTCAGGACTTGATCATTTAAAACAAAACAAGAATCTCACATCTTCATTGGATGGCTGTGTAGAAAAGGTCTCATTCTGGAGCCTAGGCTGGAGGGATAGTGACTACCTAGGCATGGTTTTGTCATGGCAGAGGACAAAAGCTCTCCGAGGTGCAAGTGGAAGCATGTGAGACCTTTCAGTATCTATGCTCAGGCTTACCCATAGTCACACTCAACTGGCCAAAGCATGTCATGTGGCCAGGCCAAGTAAAGGGCATCAAAGTCCACTCTGCACACATGAGGCTCACCAGGTATCATGTGGGGATGAATTAATTCAATCTACCACAGTTCCTGAGAAATGCAGCCACAGGAGGCTAGCAGCTATGTTTACCTAAGGTCCATGGGGCCTCTACTGAAGGTCAGAAGTGTGTATTCAGGGCACCCAGGCAGCTCAGTTTGTTAAGCGATGGCCTTTAGCTCAGGTCATGATCTCAGGGTCCCGGAATCAAGTCCCGCATTGGGCTCCTGCTCAGCTGGGAGCCTGCCTCTCCCTCTTCCACTCTTCCTTCCTATGCTCTCTCTCTCTGTCAAATAACTAAATAAAATCTTAAAAAAAAAAAGAAGAAGAAGAAGAAGAAGTGTTTATACACCAGGAGACACTAGAGTCCAGTATGAATATTTTGGGGGATTTGGGCTCTGTAGAATCCCTATGACTTATGTACCACAATAATTCAATAGGAGGAAATATGAAGTCAGACCAATAACATAATTAAAGAACCATTATGTTAACTTCATAGGTGCTCTGCTCACATTTAAGTACCTACTAATAGAAACCCATTCTATCGATCATTAAAGCCATGCACTGTCTCAAAAACAGGCTTCAGTCACTCCTCATGCAGACTAAGATCAAGTCTTAACAGGAATGGAATTGCTGAATGATAGAACTGAGGGGAAGCTCTGACACTATCTGGCCGGTCCAATTCCCTCTTTCTGAAGATGAGGAAACACAGGCAGATACAAGCAGCCTGACTTACAAGCCACTTAAATACGAAATGTCGGCCCTATATTGTGCCCCACCCCAGCACTTTGTTCCAGTGAGAGTTTCATTAGCAATTATGGACTTGTACTAAGGTGGGGGCTCCATGACAGTAATTGAGATCATGGGGCCGTGGGTTCAAAGTCAAGAATTCAGGGGGGTTGGGGCTCCTGGATGGCTCCGTTGGTTAAGCATCTGCCTTTGGCTCAGGTGGTGATCCCAGAGTCCTGGGATCAAGCCTAGAGGCATCAGCATCAGACTCCCTGCTCAGTAGGGAGCGTGCTTCTCCCTCTCCATCTCCCTCTGCCCCTCCCCCTGTTTATAGTCTCTCTCTTTCTCTTTTTTTTTTTTTTTTTAAAGATTTTATTTATTTATTTGACAGAGAGAGA